CTGGATCGTGGTTCCTTTGGCAGGTACCAGCCAGGTAACAAAGGTGTAAAAAAATTCATATCAAATTCGTTATTTTAAGAAACTCCATATTTTCATATGTTGTTCGTAGCATTATTATAACTTGCGCTGGTCATTGCTAGACACGTAGTGTGGTTCCAACCCCCCGCCGGACCCCCCTAAACTATACTTTTTAGAAATAAACTTACGTCATTTTAATAAAGCTGAACTTTATATATGTTATTGAGAGAACTATTAAACTGAGTTTCCTAAATTGCCAGACAGTTTTCTTGGTTCCTTATCCTACCAGACTCATTGAAACCGTATATTGGGTAACAACGGTGTATACAATTTCATATCAAATTCGTTATTTTAAGATGCTCCATTTTTTCACATATTGCTCGTAACAGTATTATAACTTGCTCTGCTTGTTGTCGAACTAAGAAAACTGTCTGGCAATATAGGAAACTCAGTTTGAGAGAACTCTCAATAATATATATAAATTTCAGCTTTATTAAAATGACGTAAGTTTATTTATAAAATAGTACAGTTTAGGGGGGTCCGGCGGGGGGTTGGAACCACACTAAGTGTCTGGCAATGAGCAGCGCAAGTTATAATAATGCTACGAACAACATATGAAAATATGGAGTTTCTTAAAATAACGAATTTGATATGATTTTTTTTACACCTTTGTTACCTGGTACCTGCCAAAGGAACCACGATCCAGGTTTCATATTTGGGGATCGTTCTTACCTGTGTTGGGGACACACATACAAGAACTTTCACGTTTATTAAAATGACATATGTCTGGCAGTCGTGGGCTCTTGGGCTATTAGTATAAATGACTGGTGCCGATATGTATATAAATACGGTACATACACCAAAATAACATTTTTTACAATTTTTGTCTGTCTGTTTGTTCCGGCTCTGAAATGGCTGGACCGATTTTGACGGGACTTTTTTTGGCAGGTAGCTGATGAAATAAGGAGTTACTTAGGCTACTTTTATTTCAGAAAAATAAAGATAAATTCCACGCGGACGAAGTCGCGGGAACAGCTAATACACAATAAGATTAAATCATTCAGAGTGATAATCGGACTGAACTGTAGGGATCTGCAGAATCCAGCTAGTCTTTAAAGTCCTTATATGTGACATGGCTGCTAACAAACTAGCAAAACTGACGCACACTGACAAAACGGTTTCCTCGCTTTATGAATGAATCCATTTATAAACTTAATTGTTGTATTAAACTCACAGTGCTTAGTTCCCGATTCCTTAACTTAGAGGTCTATAATAACAGTTTCGTCTGTAAGGCCGGGGTCTCTGCCCATAATAGATAGAAAATCTACTATTACTTTGAGGAAGGGGTTTGTTAGTAATGTGGGCTCATGACCCCATACTAGCAATGTACCATGTCAGGTTGACATCCACGCGGTTTCCCCTGGAAACCATCGTGATAAATTCCTGGTGAATTGATCACGATCCTCCACTGGTGCCCCGCCAACGTAAACCGTTAGCGCAAGCAGGGGCACCATTCCATTATCATACATAAAAAAATCTACTATAACTAAGATCACCCTGACCAGGCGCTTTCATATAAGTGTTGTCTACAACGACAATTGTCTGACATTTCAAAGGTTTATTGTCGGACCTTAAATATTAAAGAGAGTTAATTATGTACGAATTTATAAAGATTGTCTAAAAATTAGAGGAAAATATTTTCGTGTAAGGATATCCTTACCAATATTATAAATGCAAAAGTAACTTTGTCTGTCTGTCTCGCTTTCACGCCAAAACTACTGAACGGATTGAAATGAAATTTGGTACACAGATAGTCTAGATCCTGAGAAAGGGCATAGGCTACTCTTTAATGCAAAAAAAGGGTTGTAAGGGATTGAAAAGCGTGATGAATGATTGTATGAAAGTATCGATATTTTTAAAGCTAGAAACTAAATTTTAGGCTGGTGATTAAATATAAATAAATATGACATTCAAAGTTTATAAAAATGTTACCCTTAAGGGGGTAAAATAAGATATATGTATTTTAATGAAAAATATATTTATTTTATTCTTATATTTGAACTGGTTAATTCTCGTTTAATATGGCTGCTCTGCGAGTTGATTTGATGACGTAACAATATATTGTTACCTTTATAATCTAAGTAAACTATAAGCTGAAGCAATAGTTATAATAATAATAATAATCTCAAAACAGTTCACACTAGCGCCAAGTTAAGCTAGCTAAAACTTGTGTTATACTAGATAACTGATATATAGATAAATATATAGATTTTTTTTTTCTAAATACCTACATATTATACATAGAAAACACCCAGACCGACACAAACAATCATACTCATAAATGTATCGTGCGAGGAATCGAACCCGCGACCATCGGAAGTAAAGCAGTGTATTAAACCACTACAGCACCTAGCACGAGAATAATAGTTAATATCACGAAAAATAAGAATTATACTCTTTTAAGAAGCACAATTTATTAGTGTAAGAAAAGTCAAAAAGCAACCCTATAGCGTGGCTATACCTGTATAATTTTCTGTTTATAAGAGAAGATACTCATGGTCATCAATCACGATTCTTCCCAATCATTGACCCTATATTGTTTAATGTTGAAAATTTCAATACAACGACCTCGCTTATGAATGGTAGGACTCCCATTACATTGTGTGCGGCAATATATCACGGCCTCGATGGTCGCCATCGGGTCGCTGGTCGGCCGTGATATACCGCACCTCACTCGTCACTGTCACCCGCCATCCCCGCCACCCCCGCCAACACTCGCCCGACACCATCACCTCCCATACATCAACATCACTACTCCACATCACTCGTCAACTCGCCATTTTTACTGTAACGGGATATATGAGTAATGCTCATTAAAACTTACTTGGCTTCAGTTTCGACCGTGAGAGTTTTAATGCTATTCGCTGCACAAAAGCGATAAACGGCGCCTCAAGAAGCACTGCGAACATCACGTTATCACGTGATGCCCGTGATATTGCTCGTGCGTTTTATTACCACGACTTAGGATATAGATGTATGTACTTTTTTCGACTTCCACGAGTACCTCTCACAACATTCCAGAGAACTAAGATGTCTACCTCTTAACCTGTAATTTCATCTCCTACATATTATTTACACATTATGTTTATTATTGTACGGAGGACAAGCGTCGGAGAGCAGTAAATACTTTACATCTTACATTACATTAAATAATACGTTTTTAGTAACAAATTGTTAAGAACTAGCTGTACCCGTGGATTCGTTCGCGTGGAATTAAAATTTATTTTTTCTAAAATATAAGTAGCTTATGTTACTCCTTATTACATCAGCTACCTGCCAAAAAAAGTTCCGTCAAAATCGATCCAGCCGTTTCAGAGATTAGCCGGAACAAACAGACAGACACAAAAATAGTAAAAAATTGCTATTTTGGTGTATGTACCGTATTTATATTTATATGCATGTAGTAAAAAAACGGTTATATCAATATTACAAACAGACACTCCAATTATTTATATGTATACATTACGAGATTTAGACTTCTTGCATATATATTTTGAATTGGGATGGCCTCCAGCAAGGTGGACCGACGATCTGGTCAAGATCGCTAGAAGGCATTGGATGCGAGCAGCGCAGGACCGATCGTCGTGGAGATCTTTGGGGGAGGCCTTTGTTCAGCAGTGGACACTGGACGTCTTCCGCGCTGAGATGATGATATATTTTGACTAGGGTTCATGATTTCTCGAGCTTTTCAATTTCTCGGGTCTCGAGAATTCTCGAGGTTAATTTCTCGGGTCTTCTCGGGTTGTCGAGAAATGCACATTTACGTACGTTTTCTCATATTATTTGGTTCCAATAACGTAAAAAAACTCAGTGGTTTAATTTGAGAGGAAAACCAATGCATTTGTTAAATATTTTATATAAAATTTAACTATAAAATTAATTATAAAACTTTTATTGAGTATATTTAAAAACATTATACATATTATGAATAAGCAAGATTTTATTTAAATACTGAAATATATTAGGTTCTTAAATATGAAATTAGCGTTTTGTCGCACTGGCCACTTTGATCTTAAATATCTCCTCTTTGGTTAGGAATTCCAATTTCAAATTTATACGGCTATTCACTCATGTATTTGTTTTTCGAAAACCGTAGTACATATGCTTGGTTTTTTCTTTGGGTCACTCAGCTTACAAAATGGAAAACTTAAAATATCGCGTCATTTACAAGTACGAGTACGAGTTCCGCCATGGCACTAGTGCTGTAGAAACAGCTCGAAGGATTAATGATGTGTATGGCGGTGGTGTCGCAAAAGAAAACACAATGCATTTTTGGTTCCAACGTTTTCGTTCTGGAAATTTCGACCTGCAAAACAATCCCCGTGGGCGGCCGGAGTCCAAGGTTGGTAATGAAGAATTGAAGGCTATTGTGATAGCAGATCCATCGCGAACCACGTCCGAGTTAGTTGCAGGGTGCGGTGTTAGTGACAAAACTGTATTAATCCACTTGTAGAAAATTGGGAAAAGTGAAAAAGCTTGAAAGGTGGGTCCCTCATGAATTGAGTGGACAATTCGCGTTTCGATCGACAAACGCGCGTAGACTGCTGCGTTACATTAGTCAACCGGCATAATAATAAAGGGATTTTAAATCTGTTCAAAATCTACCTTGTATCATCGTAAGCACAGATTATTATATTAGAGCCCGTTAGTTCGTGTTCCCGCGGCTTTCCCTGCCCCTCCCTTAACTAGTAACAGACGGACTGTACGGCGGCCTTGACGACAAACGGCAATTTAATTTCTATAAAGATACTTGATTTCTCGAGTTCTCGACTTTTCTCGAGCTTGATTTCCCGGGAACAAAACCCAACGATTTCCCGGGAATTCTCGACCCGAGAATTCCCGGGAATGAACTCTAATTTTGACATATATTAAAAATGTTGTCTGTTCAATTACTTGAATACTTTCGAATCTTTGTACCGTAGACTCCGCGCCGGAGCTGCACTACACGTTCATCGAGCAGGCGCTGCGGGCGGGCGGCGGCGTGTCGCTGCGGTGCGCGGCCGCCGGCTCGCCCGCGCCGCGCCTCGCCTGGCTGCTCGACTCGCAGCCGCTGGACCAGTACCGGGCCCAGCACAGGTACAACTCTTATTCATATTATTCATATCATCATCAGCTTGTGTCCACCACTATCCACTCTTGGATATAGGCCTTTCCCAAAGACTACTACCATGTGCGCTCTTCCACCTTCCGCATCCATCCACTCCCGGCCACCTTCGTAATGTCGTCGGGCCATCTTGCAGGAGGGCGCCCGACTCTCCGTCGACACACACGCGGCCTCCACTCCATAACCTTTCTTCCCCATCTATCATCGCTGACTCTGCTGATATGCCGTCCCACTGCCACTTCAGCTGAAATACTTTGAGAGCGTATATTCATACATTCCTCTTCATTTCGACGGCCTCGGTGGTTATGCGATACAGTTACCTGGATACATCAATATAATAGTTGCATTTAATAATGTCTAGTAAGACAAATCCAATATTGTGTACTAAGCACTGCCGTGTCTAAACTGTGTCACCCCACCTTACATCTTCCTATTGTCTTTTAGCATATAAGATAATTTATTTATTTATGTATAATATTTCAGGCTACTAATGGCCCATATTATACATATGAATAATATAATTAATAGAAAATAAAATATAAATTGTCTGCGTGATCACGGCACTGATTATGGTAATCTGCCACGGTAGCGCCGATAGACCACATCCTTCGGCCAGTAGTCCTCCTTTATGAAGGTGGACAGCATGTTGGTGGGAACTCAGGCCACAAACTCCTTGAAACTAGCGTTATGACTCGATTCCAGCTGCCTCACCCTCAGAGTCAGGTTACTCCTGGTCCGTACGTAGTCAACAATGTCCTGCTCTCTGTACATATTGTCAATCTATTATTATCGATACATACAAATAAAATTGGAGCCTCTGTTTGTAATATTGAAATAATCGTTTTTTACTACATGCATATGAATATAAATACGGTACATTCACCAAAATATCAATTTTTACAATTTTTGTCTGTCGGTCTGTTTGTGCCGGCTAATCTCTGAAATGGCTGGACCGATTTTGACGGGACTTTTTTTGGCAATTGGCAATTGGCAACAGGAAGTAACTTAGGCTACTTTTATTTTAGAAAAATTATATTAAATTCCACGCGGACAAAGTCGCGGGAACAGCTAGTCTATAATATACATCGTCTCAACCGTCAACATCGTATTATTACCCCGCAACAGTGGTCTACCAGTATAGCACTTTCGTTTCTAAAACAATTGTTTTTTTTATTTACATCAGTCTAGTACCCATAACACGAGCTCTGTCTAACTTGGGACCAGATGGCGCTGTGTCAATTGTGCTAAGATGTTATTTGTTCCTTGTTCGTTGTCAATATATACGTGAGAACAATTTAGAAATAAACAGGTAAGGGTACACATTCGCGTGAACTTTATTAATAATTAATTAGGTACTTCATCAATGAAGAGATATCAGTTAACGGTGATGTGGTGTCGACCCTGAACATCAGCTCGGTGTCCCCGGAGGACGGCGGCCGGTACACGTGCCGGGCTCAAAACCAATTAGGACAAGCCGAACACTCCGCCAGACTCAATATTTACGGTGAGACAAAACATCTAAGTTTAAAATAAATTTAACATTTCACTCTTCAGTTCTCGTCGTACTCAATTTGTCTATTGCAGTTTAGGTTTAAAATTTGAATGAGTGAATAATTAATATTGATTCATTCAATAATTACTCGGTAACTATGCTGAGTTAAGACTTAAAACCCATCGGAACATAATCTTTCGTTCCCACAGGGCCGCCTTCAATTCGTGCGCTGGGTCCTATCCGGGTGGTGGCGGGCGCCAACGCCACGATCTTCTGCCCGTATGCCGGATATCCGATCAGGTCCATAGAGGTGCATTTGATAGGATGATTCCTCTTACACAATACACACATACACACACACATGTACATTTGATTTTGGTTTGAAGCCGTCGCATCCGACACTAACAGTTTAGTAACACCGTCTAATCATTGCAAGAACTGATAATTTATGACATATATAACTTTACCTATTTTACTACGCTTAACGCTAAGTCCTCTAAACCTTAACAATGTTATTTTCGTGCACTTGTTTACTTGAAAATACTGTTACTTCTAAAATCTACACTTAATACTTTATGAGTTACGAATACGTGTGGCTTTGCAGTGACGCTTTCGCCAGCACGGTTGGTCACCGTAGCGGGCACGAACATAGTTTAACCAACACGCGCGGGTGGCCCGCGCAGACGGCAATTCGGCCCCGCTTTTCAGCCGGGATCGGGCGAGGATTCATTGTGTTCAGTGAACGTTGTACAGTCTCACCGGTCGAATGTGCACATGCGTGCTGTCGTCGCCAAAATTTATGGAAATTACATCAATACGGTTCGATTGATTTAGGAAGTTCGCTATCAATCGTTGTTATGGGATCCATCGGACGGATCAAAAACAAGGTGCGCGACGTAAACTTGATCTTTTTAAATTATGTTCTATCTTGCAGAGTAATTCATCAAATGTTGTTATAGACAGAGGAATGTGTTTTAAAAAACTTGTCATTGTGTCCTCTTAAATCGGAAAACGATGTGGAGAACGCGCTTCTCAGCAATCTAGTGGCATTGAAAAAATGTACTTGTATACGTCGTCGTCGTCGTTGCCTTTTTTCCATATGTAATACAGTATAATAAATACGAGAAGACTCAGACATCACGACTGAACAAAGCGGCAAAACGACGACAGCAAACCGCGTGACTCTAAACTCATTTGAACGGGTCATCCGCGCGGACGGTAAGCATTACTGTAAAACCACCCTTGTTTGTACTCGTATATACAAGAGGTCTCGTAACGAACACACGAACATGAAACTGTGAGTAACGTGCGGCCGCCGGTGTGCAGCTCCGTGTGGTGGCGGCGCGGCGCGGGGCGCGCGGTGGGCGGCGCGGGGCGCGTGTCGGCGCGCGGCGCGGAGCTGCGGCTGGCGCCCGCGCTGGCCGCCGACGCGGGACGGTACGCCTGCGAGGTGGCCGCGCCCGCCGCCGCCGCCCGCGCCGACCTCGAGATACAAGTCCGAAGTGAGTACACCCACTGGCGCTCCACACCCGCCTCCCGTCGCACTACCCATCCGGACCCCACAGATCACGTCATCTCCTTCATACCGAAATTATTCATTCAACTATTTGTGTAATTTACTGACTTCGAACCCGTTCCGTGTTAATTTAATACCCACTTTCTGAGAGCACTTCATCCAATTGGCCTGTTGCAATGTTCGGTTAAATCACCACATTTGTCTGTTGCTCCTAGATCCACCAAAAATTTCGCCCTTCATGTTTTCTTCCGAATTGACCGAAGGCAGCTCTGTGCAAGTTCTTTGCGGGGTCTCGTCCGGTGACAAACCCATGTACTTCTCTTGGCTTAAGGACGGCGCACCTCTGTCGTCTAATTTGCAGGTACCTAATCAGCGTGCTCTTGTACAATGTTATATGATTATATTTAAATTAAAAAATACTGACAGTATCTATTGTCTTTGCAGATAGAAGAAAAGAGTTTAAATGAATTTTCCCTTCTAATGTTCTCCGACCTGACGGCCCGCCACAGTGGCGACTACACCTGCCGGGTGACGAACCACGCCGCCACTGTCAACTACACCGCCACACTCAGCGTCAAAGGTAAGTCAGCTCTCCATCGTACTAGTAGAGTTCAAATTCATAGGCTAATGATTGCTCACTAAATACTTTTTCCTTTAGTGACACCGGCATGGACGACAGAACCTATGGATGCTGCTATATTACTTGGCGCTCCGTTATCACTGCAATGTGCCGCCAAAGGTTATCCGGTACCTAAGATCAAGTGGTACAGACGCATAGGTAACTTATTTATTCTTAGTCACCGTTTGTATTAATTCTTATGACTACTATACAAATAAGAACGTTTTTCTTCAATAGGCGATAGTGTATCCCTGAACAATGACAATGAAGATCACTGGGAGATAATCGGAGGTTCAGACTGGGGCGACGGGGTCATCGAAGTGCGCACTCGAAACGGTACGCTGGGAGCACCAGCCGCCTCCCGGCTACATCAGGGACAGTACCGCTGCGTCGCCGACAATGGTGTGGGACCTCCTCTCATCAAACATATCAATTTAACTATCCATGGTGAGACTAAATATGTGTGGAAATATAATATATTGTTTAACAATTGTACCAAAATCTACATATCATTTTAAACAACCCTTGAAGTTATAATCCTCCAAATAACAATACATATGTTATGTTCTATTTTTCCTCCAATTGCCTAACGTCGTAACAGTAGGCTAATAGCTTCAGCCTTTGATGAGGAAGAACATAAGTTCATTGTTAGAGATATGTTCTTTATTTGGTAGTCTGTCACATTATATGTAATCTTTATCTGTGGTAAATAACGCATGTTTGAGAATTAAAATACTTTTGGATAGTTTAACTAAAATGTATATTATTTTCATATTATTTAGAGCCGGCACACTTCGAAGAGTCCAGCGGCAACATGTCGTGTGTGCGCGGACACAGCGTATCTCTGACATGCCATGCCCTCGGTGACGCGCCCCTCACTGTCCACTGGACTCATCAGGGCACTAGGATTGATCTCAACTCCTACAGGTCGGAACCAGTTAGAAGTAGTGTTTGAAATGAAATAACGTAATAGCCCCGTAGTAAATCTATATTACACGTTCAGATGGTCAGTATCCGAGGTCCGTACAGTGGATGGATTGCGGTCGAGCCTGCAGTTCCGTGCGGCCGAGAGCACCGACGCGGGCGAGTACCGCTGCCACGCGCACAATCAGTATGGCAGGAGCGAGCTGCTTTTGTTCCTACACGTAGAAGGTAGTTTTATTTTCTTAATATTATTTGAATACACACTTACCTGTCTTAAACATAAAATTATTAACTGAAGTGTATTCGCTTTACGGTATATAGAACCCCCAGAAGCGCCGCGTTCACTTCACCTGGGAGGAGTTGGGTCGCGCTGGGTGCGGGTCACGTGGCGTGCGCCATCAACACGGGGATTAAGTTACAGTGCTTCATTTACAGCGCTGCAAGCATTGCCCACCCAAGACGCTAAACACATAACCACCAACTTAACACTTGACTCTGTCGCAGATGAAAGGTATATTTTTCTTAATCAGATACTGAACTACTCAATTACGAATTACTTTAATTCAAATATTTCTCACAGAGCCGATACCGATGGTCATCCTATATTGAGTGCGCGCTTAGAATCCCTACATCCGTCGGTTGCATACTCGCTGCGTCTCACTGCTACTAATCACATTGGTCAATCTCCTCAATCAGAACCACTACTCTTCACCACTTTGGAGGAAGGTAATTATAACAACTTTCTTAAGCAACATGAATATATACCTAGTACAAGAAAAAATAAATGTTAACAATTTTTATTCAGCACCGTCGGCATCACCACAGAACGTACAAGTAAGGTCAGCTGGAGTAGGAGAATTACATATCACTTGGTCGGTAAGTAACAATTACCATATAGACACTATAGGACCTGGTTTCATTACCATTGAATAAAACTTCTGTTGACGAATTACGTTTTGAACAGGTAGAAGCAGCATTTAACCCTATTTTTTCTCTTAAGCTATTTTTCCTCCAGTTTTTTAGGGTAGTGACAGTAGGTTAATAAAGATTGTTTGTTCTGTGATCAGGGAGAAGTCGTTTCCTATAAAGAGATCATTGTTATAGATAGACTTGGAAGGTGTAGTCTTTATAGATCTCGTTTAATTACTGGATTCAGTAATCATAATCAACATCAAGTTACAGCAGCTCTCAACGTATTCATAATCATGTTTTTTTAATTTTTTTGACCTGCATTTTAAATTCCTCTTATTTATTACACTAAAATAATCGGCTATGGTGACTGCTGTTCTGCTACATAAATTTACATGGTATTAATTAGGCCCCTCCACAAGACAGTTGGAATGGTGAACTGCTAGGCTACGTAGTATCTTGGCGGGAGCTGAGCCGGGTGGACGAGGAGGGTAATGATGAGGAGCGGCGCGCCGGCAGCAGCACCGCGCCCGGCTGGACCACCGCCGACACCACCATCAGCGGGCTGCGCTCGTTCTCGCGGTACGCGCTGACGCTGCGCGCCTACAACCGCGCCGGGGCCGGGCCCCCCACGCCCACCATGTACGCCACCACCGCCGACGGAGGTCTGTCACATTATTATCTTCTTAATCTTTATGTTCATGGTTTCGTCGTCTTATTCAGGGTTTTGTTCAATTGAGTTTATTTAGATACTAGCTGTACCCGCGACTTCGTCCGCGTGGAATTTAACTTCATTTTTCTAAAATAAAAGTAGCCTAAGTTACTCCTTACTACATCAGCTACGCACTATTAAAAGTCCCATCAGAATCGGTCCAGCCATTTCAGAGATTAGCCGAAACAAACAGGCAGACAAAAATTGTAAAAATGTTGTTTTGGTGTATGTACCGTATTTGTAAATTCATATGCATGTAGTAAAAAACGGTTATTTAAATATTACAAACAGACACTCCAATTTTATTTAAACGTATAGATGTGTATTGTCGTTCAATAGTGCCCGAGGTCGCCCCGACTGCTGTCGTCTGCGAGGGGCTCTCGTCGCGCTCGTTGCGAGTTCGCTGGTCACCCCCGCAGCCGGCGCACGCTCACGTACTGCGCGGTTACGACGTACAGTATGCAACGTTACACTTCTCACCACGTCAGTTCTGACTGTTTCTTATAGTTTGCGCAGATAAATAACTCCAGTCTATGGGATATAAATAAGTATGTAATTCAAGTGAATTTCTTGCCAGTTCTTCTCAATTGAATCCATATACTGAACCATCCAGGTAGGGAAAAAATTGTAATATAAAAAAAAATTACATTCATAAGCGGCTAAAATGTCCTACATTAATAATATTTTTTTAATTTGAATTTGAATAAATGGTTCATTTGTTTTATCATAATTTTGGTATGGTTGCGTGCGGGAAAATGCAATTATTATTCAAATTGAAAGGATAAAACCAATAAGTAGATTGATTGAGTGCTTTATCTGCGTAGGTTCATATAAATACTATACAAAAGAAAACATTCAAACAAAATAATATTACGGCTGCCAGTGTGGAGCGGCGCCATGGAATCACAAACGGCTCGTACCGGTGCGAACACCGAAGCTACACTGCAGGGGCTGCGGGCGGCCACCAACTACTCGGTGTGGGTGCGGGCCCGCACCGACCGCGGCCTCGGACCGCCCTCCGCGCCCATCTACTGCTCCACCAGGGAGGACGGTAGGATTAGTGCATAATGACAACCTGTTAATTGATCAAACGTAGCGATTACGTTAACGATTGATCCTCGCCGGCATATCCGACGACGACAACATCTAAACACACTATACGTTCCGCTCGATCACACTTTCACACACATACGACACCGTCCTTCGGCTAATTCAAACGGGGATGGAAATTTCCCTGAGCCGAGGTTCGAACCCCTAGCGGTGCCCTTGAACTGAAGTCGTATCCGTCAGGCGGTAGTTGGCCTTCAGCCGCTCCATAAGTCCTTCCGCGGGTTTGGAGTGCTATCAGCACTCGCTTCCTGTCATCCGGTGAAGCTGTAAAGGCCAGCTGCGACCAAGCATTAGAGTTGTCCGTTGCTTATTCTGAAGAAATCTCTTATACCTTTAGTTCCTGGAGCGGTGGAAGCAGTACGCGCGCTTGCGTCTAGTTCGGACACAGTTCGCGTATCGTGGCTGGCTCCCAGTCAGCGCGCCGGTCGCCTGACACACTACACGCTGTATACCAGAGAACTGGGCAAGTAGGTATTATTGTAGACAAATTTTATTTGAATTTGATAAAATGTAAATCGTTACCGTAGAATAAAATCAACTCGTTTTATAAAGAGTCGGCGGCGAGTGGTCGCAGAGAGTCGAAGCGAATGTCGACTCGAAATCGGACGAAGAAATCGAAGAAGAGGAGGTGTGGCGGGAGGTGGTGGGTCTGCGGGAGCGCACGGTGTACGAGTTCTGGGTGCGCGCCGCCACCGCGGCCGGCGCCGGGCCCCCCACGCGGCCCGTCACCGCCGCGCCCGCGCGCGCAGGTGACACGCCCACACCGCGTACCCCAACCTGCCATCTACTTGCACTTCTAAAATTCGGCTTTATGTTTAATAGTGTGATGATAGGAGCGATGGTGAAAGTAAACACACACAGTAGGACTGGAAGTTGTATATTAACTTGTTACATCTTAATTTACTCTACCTTAGACTATACCACTGCGTGACTTACGTGTCTTTAGATAAAGTGACTTATCTATCGTACAACGGGCATAATCTATTATCCTACGTTCTGATTTGCAATTATTATATCACACCACCCCTGAAAAAGTAGGATGTCTATTGTGAGGGAGTCCAGCACTAAGGATTAATTGAACTCGACAATTTATACATAAAACAAATAATTCTTAAAAATTTTTCGTCTTATTCTTATAGATTAATATATTTTTTATTATTATTTATTATTTTTACATTTACTTCATAATCTTGTAATACACTATATGGTCCTTTAAATAGTTCACTATATTTATTTCTAACCTCATTTTTATTAACACTAAATCGTTTCGTTTGTAGTTTATTTGGTTGGAAGTCCTACCATACGTCTCTTTTCTTAATACGAGTATCTTAGACTTAATTAAGTTATTTCTTGCCTCCATTTGAGAGATTTATAATCTATATTTTAGTTCTAATGTGTGAGACCTACAATGTGAGTCACTGGCAGTGTTTATATTCGTTTATCCATATTTAAAACATAAGAGTTCTTGTTATACAATTGTTTTATTATTACTTTTGTCACTGCGCTCTGCTATAATAAACGTCTCTACAAGCATCTCTCTATTTTCATTAATTTTTACATAATGAATAATCGTCATGTACATATAAAGGTTCAACATTACATATGTAAGTTGAAGTGGTGTGTAGTACGTTAGTGAGAGCGGTGGTGTGCAGGCTCCGCGCGCATCTCGTCGCTGGGCCGCGTGGTGCACGTGTCGCGCGGCGCGCGCGTGCGGCTGCGGTGCGCGGCGGTGGGCGCGCCGCCGCTGCGCTGGCGCTGGTCGCCCGCACCGCCGCCGCACGCGCACACGGTCACAGACGACGGCGACCTCGTCATACACAGTCAGTACACATTATTATATAATTGACGAAAATCCCTCATCACGACCTGCCTGCCTCGGGGCAGGGACCGGCTGACATTAACTATTTAGATGTGAAGATTCCCGACAGTAAAGAGCATATGCATGGTGAAGATTATTGCGCGTGTACTAAGAAGAAGAAGAAAAGAATAAGAAAAACATTTATTTACAACCATTATTGATATAATATAAAAAAAAATATTCAGTTTAATTGAAGTCACGTGATTACCATTATTGAGCCATAAATAGCTTTTATTGAATAAAAAATAGTTAAAATAAATTATTTTTCATCTTTTCATTTCATTAAAATGTTTTTCTTATTCTTTTCTTCTTCTTCTTATTACACGCGCAATAATCTTCACCATGCATATACTATAATGCGTGGTGACATATAACTCAACTGTTAGATATTCTTTTCTGAATTAGATTGAAAAATGACAACATATTATATAGAAAATTTAATTTCAATCGTAAACCATATAACCAATGTTTATAACTATAAGTCACCATGTATACACGAGTTACATGATCTCATTCCTAACGAAATGATATCGTCACTAGTATTATAAGTAACGCGTATCACCGGTGAACGCGACCGTGGTGATAGTGAGTGTTGTGGTGGGCAGAGGTGGAGGTGCAGACTGCGGGCAACTACACGTGCTCGGTGCGTAACAGCGGCGGCGCGGACGCGGCGGTGTACACGTTGGCGGTGCGGCGGCCGCCCGCCGCGCCCGCGCCGCGCCTCGTGCGCGCCGACCGCCGCGCGCTGCACCTCGCCTGGGACGCGCCGCCCGACGGCGGGGCCGCGCTCCTCGGTAATATCACCTTTTTATTTTATCACAGAAGAATCTTTATAGAGACCGCGAGGGCTTAGGGGCCGATGGAGATCGCCGGATTCTTACCGGATAAAAACCTGAAGGCTATTCCTCCTCGAACGTATCACCGTGGGAACACTTTCGCGGTCTACAAGACCACCGGTATAGTTCCCATCAATGGGACTTTCCATCTAGACATGAGAAGAATAGCTTCTGCACGCCATCTCCAAACCTTAATACGTCCTTGATAACCCACGTCAATCAGACTCAGTCGTCCATACGGTCCCCTTTCCCCTCTCGCTAACGTTAATTTACATCGCGGCTGCGGCCTTGACCTTCGATAATTAGCCTGGCATGCTAATTTCTTTTTTTTTATTTTCGCAATACGTCATCGTGTGATATCGGTTTCGGCGAGCAGGCTACACGGTGTGGTGGTCCCGCGAGGGGGGCGAGGGGAGCGAGGGGCGCTCGGAGCCGCGGTCGGCGCGCGTGCCGGCGGGGGACACGGCGCACGCGCTGGCCGGGCTGGCGTGCGGCGCGCTCTACCGCGTCACGCTGCGCGCGCACAACGCCGTCGGAGCCTCGCCGCACTCGCGGCCGCTCCTCGCGCGCACCCGCGGCGACAGTCAGTGTTACCACATCTTATCATTGTATTCTTTATATTATTTGCTATAACAAATGTTGATGATTGATAATATTTAACATTGATTGCAATTGGAGCATATTAAACTACTACGCATACGAAATTCATTCGTCGAGGCAAATCGTCATATAGGACTGTGACAGTTTGCCGCGGTACGCCACCGTGGTGGACGCACGTAAGAGATCTGTGATGTGCGTAGAGGCGAAGGCGCCGCCGGGCAAGGAGTTCGTGTGGGCGAACAGCACGGCGCTGCGGCTGAACCTGCTGGCGTGGGGCGGGCGCTGCCCGGTGGCGGCGTGGACGCTGGCGCTGCGGCCCGCGGCCGGCGGCGGCTGGACCGCCCTGCACACCAACGGGGAGACCGCTGAGGTACGACCCCACATGTATACATTTGGTCCCACTAGTGTCGGTCAGGTCAGGTCGGAGAGGATGGCACGTGGAACGGCACCAGGAAGCAGAGAAGACATTCGGGCGTATCCGGAAGAAGATAGAGTGCTGCCCGGCACCGAAGTCACAACTGCTGTTGCTGTGGTATCTGCTGCCCCAGAAAGGAGAGAAAATGCACTAGGAACAAGGAATGTAGATTAAATAATTTGTAGGGAGTCAAGAGAGATAGGGGCTCGGGTGTTCCTCCCGCGTTTCGACCAATATAACTGCGAGGTTGGAATGGCCATGGGTTGGAGGGTCATTAGTGTTAATTAATTTTGTGTTATACTATAATACACCTACTTTTTGTACTGTTTTGCTAAGGAAGTAATATTGTCATCAGAGCGGTGACCTGCAACCAGGCACCTGGTATGAAATCCGCGTGGTGGCGCGCGCACCCGCCGGCGACACGCACGCACGCTACAAGGCTGCCACACACACGCGCAACGGAGGTCAGTTGGACTCGTAGTACTCATTACCAATAATTTATTTTTAGTACGTTATTTCTATACTTTGGTTTAGTTTATCAATTATATTTTTATACCTGCTCGTAATTGTGTATAAAAATGTAATGAACTTGCTATGTTTTTTTCTTCCGGAATAATTGGCAATTAGAGTTTTTCTACGCAATACTAACTACAGTAAATACACCAAAGTACAATACAATAAACTATACCACTTTATGTATATTGTGCCGTTAGGAATCTTAACGAAATTACTATTTATAGTTAATCAGTGTACGCAATATAATCGATTCCACTGCACTAATATCAATATCGCAGTATTTGAAGCTACTCATTGTCTACAACCTTTGACGTTGATATATTTACCTTGGATATTATGATCTACGACACGGATGTTCTCTTTAAAGAAATACCTAGTCAATATAACTGTCTATATATACATACACATGCAATAGTCCGTAGCGTCGCCTCCTCTCGATCGCCAGTCCAATTCAAACGCAGTTCGAATCCCTAGCGGTGTCCTCGGACAACTACTACAACTTTAGTCCGAGGGCACAGCTAAGGGTACGACTCGGCTCGAGCCGTCGTAATTTCGATCTCCCTTTGAATTGAATTGAATTTGAAAAAAGTGGTGCGTATAGTATGATGTGTGGGGACGCGTACAGAGCGCGTGGGGGAGCCGACGGAGCTGCCGCTGGAGGCGCGCGGGGCGGCGGGCGGCGGGGGCGCGGCGCGCGGCGCGGAGGCGGCGGCCACGTGGCGCGCGCCGCTGACGCCGCTGCTGCTGGCCGCCGCGCTCGCCGCCGCACTCACCGCGCTCACCGCGCTCGCAGGTCAGCCGCACCACGCGCACATTCATTGCAGATATATGCACCGGACTACTGAATTCAGAGTCTCAGAATACACTACCCTGAACCATGAACCTAGGACACTCTATGTAATCGATTAAACTACACTCGCGAGAAACGGTATGGAATCACTTACTTGGAATTGATTCCGCGCGATCTTGAGTACTTAATAAGTAGTTAAGAATAATAAAAATGGTACCATCGGATAGGTTAAACTGTTAAGTTTAAATTGATACCAAATTCATTTAAATCACACCAGTATCTAAGGAGCTATCTCGGATTGAGTGAGGGAGTTAGGAAATCATAAAGATAATGGACAATAATTAATTAATAAAAACTTTATTTGAACATAGCTTAAATATATGAGTACTGAGTACATGTACTGTTTCGGCGTCGACTAGAAAGTATTATGTTGTGACGTAAAACATCTCGAACAGGATAATCTGCGTGATCAATTAAAAACTATATGAGCGAGTAAGTGTGGTAATATTAAACCAGCGCGGTGTCCGCAGGTGTGGTGCTGGCGCGGCGGCGGCGCGCGGCGCTGTGTGAGCGGCGCGAGTGCTCCCCGCGGCGGCCGCACCCGCAGCTCTACTCCACGGAGCCCGGCAACAGGAACGGGAAGACTCTCACGCCGCCGCACTGTACGCACTCGCACACCTACACTCACTCTTACATAATACACACGAATTTATATATTCCCTTTTAATCATATTTGTGCTGCAAAAGATCTCTTTAACTTACTGATCATGTTCCAATTTGTGCAAAGTCGTCTGTGGGAGATTTCTCTGTTTCATCAATTTCAGCAGCTACTAGCTGTCACTGCATTATATGTGATTCGATTCAATGATAAGACAGAAAAATTACAGGGCATGATATTTTAGTCCTTCGGAAGAATGACGCATGAGTGACGTAGTACCAAGTAGTCACGTATTTACATCAAAAAAATTGTGTCTTTAATTGGTAACACAAGATCTTATGATTAAGAAAACAAATGTGAATAGGAAATAGGTCAATAAATGTGAATCGCGTACAGCGGACGACATGCACGAGATCAGCCCGTACGCGACGTTCAGTATGACGGGGGGTGGCGGCGCGGAGGTGTCCGGCGGTGCGGGGGGCGCGGGGGGCGCGGGCGGCGGGTGCGCGCTGCACCTGCGCACGTTCGCGCGCGCGGAGTCATTGGACCTGGCCGCGCCGCCGCCGAGACCCAACCTCCTCACGCACTCACAAGGTCAGTACCTACATCCTCTCTTTACATAACTCGATTAGAACCCGGCGTTCACAGAACAATTTTGCACGACGACGACAGCGATCAGGTATGTCATAGGCACAATAGAAAAGACTACCAAACACCAACAGAAAAATCGCAATTGCGGCGAACCGTTTTTGAACAGGCGGTTGCGCTGGTAGTCTTGTAGAGTGACCTCGGAGAGAGCTTATTTGCTACCTAAAATGCTTACATTAAAGTGAATCCTTATAATTTGAAAAATCCTACATACTCCTCAGAAAGTTCACATTGTTCCTTCACGCGCGATGACTTATGTGAATAGTATACTATTGCTAGTCTTATAAATATTTAAAACCATCAAGTATAACATTTAATATTCATTATTTTATAATACACTGGCCACTCGCTCACGGGTTTGCATGTATTATATATATAAACCTTCCTCTAGAATCACTCTATCTATTAAAAAAACCACTTCAAAATCCGTCGCGTAGTTTTAAAGATTTAAGCATACATAGGGACAGACAGCGTCAGCGGCTTTGTTTTATACTATGTAATGATTAGGTCGATATAACATATTATTTATCGGAATACTTAGTAACAACTACAACCAGAACGTCCAAACTATACCAATATGATGAATAAAGGATTTCTGAAAACTCCCTGTGGGAGCACTCAAGATATTAATTTATACGCGAGAGAAACTTTGTAGTCATAGTAACCTTCATAATTCTCTGTATACAACACCTCAAACATTAAAACATCAGCAAGCAGGTGGTAGACGCTGTGCTGTTCTAATACAACAGCCTACGGTCAGCCAAGACGTCAATGTACACAGAATCAATTCAATTCAATTCTGAATCGGACACCACGTGACACCTACGAGGCTACCAGCACGCTACACTACCACCCACAGTGCACCATCATAACAATCACATCACGACCTTATAACTGATCACATAGTTATTTTACTTCTTTAGCACAAATTTATTCGAGTAAAGTTTTAATGGAAGGCATTGGATGCGAGCAGCGCAGGACCGATCGTCGTGGAGATCTTTGGGGGAGGCCTTTGTTCAGCAGTGGACGTCTTTCGGACTAAGATGATGAAAGTTTTAATGTGATATATTATCAAATTCAAATTCAAAAATCATTTATTCATGTAGGACATTTTAGCCGCTTATGAACGTAATTTTTTTTATATTTTAATTTTTTCCCTACCGTCCAGTTCAGTATGTAGATCCAATTGAGAAGTACTGGCAAGAAACTCAATTGAATTACTTAATGTAATGTGAGTATGAAAGGAAACATTTAATTTTTATTTTAATATAACATAGCTATATTAATACAAATTCAATTAAAGTATATCTCTTTAGAAAAAATAACAATTACTCAGAGACATTGGGACACAACGTTGCGACGTAAATAAAAAAGGTCGCCATATATTTTTAAGACTTTTGTTGGAAGAAGAATAGAGTTTTTTATGGGCCAAGACACCGCGCGGGGTCCACAAACAAAATAAACTTCATGTCCACATTCAAGGAACCGTAGTTAAATGTGATATAGGTACATTATATTCAGTATTACCTGTGCGAGCGAATTGATGCACTCACTACATATGTACTCCAATATTAATATATACATATAAATAAAATTGGAGTGTCTGTTTGTAATAATTAAATAACCGTTTTTTACTACATGCATATGAATATAATTACGGTATATACATCAAAATAACATTTTTTACAATTTTTGTCTGTCTGTTTGTTCCGGCTAATCTCTGAAATGGACTCTGGACCGATTTTGATGGGACTTTTTTTGGCAGGTACCTGATGTAATAAGGAGTAACTTAGGTTACTTTTATTTAGAAAAATAAAGTAAAATTCCACGCGGACGAAGTCGCGGGACCAGCTAGTTAAGAGTATAGGGCTAAAGTAAATTGTTGCAATGGTTCATTGACAAGGAAGCCGGTAATAGTCACTTTATAGAGTTGGGATGATATTTGCAATTCGTCTATTGGCCATTATTACAATGCGAATAATTCTGAGCTATAATTATTATTCCACGAGAAGAACATAGTTAATGAATGAGGTAAGAAGTAGCATAAGACAATGAGGCATGCTCCACTTCATCGCCCCCAGTAACAAGTACACCGCGCACTCAGACAAACAAACACTCATCACGATTTCATCGTTCGCTGAGATTGCAATTTCCGCTGGAGCCCTGAATTTATAATAGCGAGAGGAATCAGACGCGGGCGGCCCCGAGACGCCTGCACTCGCGTACTGCTGCCACCCTCTACAGATTATGTTCAATTTTCTTCTCAATTACAGATTATATTACTAACTAGCTGTACTCGCGACTTCGGCCGCGTGGAATTTAACTTTATATTTCTAAAATAAAAGTAGCCTAAGTTACTCCTTATTACATCAGCTACCCCGCTAATAAAAGTCCCGTCAAAATCGGTCTAGCCACATCAGAGATTAGCTTGAACGAACAGACAGACAAAAATTGTAATAAAAAATATTTTGGTATATGTGCCGTATTTATATTCATATGCAAAATATGCATGTAGTAAAAACGGTTATTTCAAAATTACAAACAGACGCTACAAATTTATTTATATGTATAGATGATGAAATGTTTAATGCTATATAGAATAAGTTAATTTCATTGTTGTAGTACTTTGCTGTAATATTGTATTTGTTTATTATAATTGTGAAACAATACTCGTGTTACAGCTACGTCTGCGTAATTAGTTGGGACCAAAAAATAATCCTTACATATATTAGTCCAACAAACTAAAGGTAAAGGTATATAATAGAGAGGTACTAAAAACGCTCGATAACATGGAAAAAGAGTAACGACTGTAGAGGGACCGTTGTCGTATTTTCAGTTTGGTGTACGAGCGCATTAAGTTTATAGTTAATGGATAAGACTTTGCAGAAAATGAATAGCGTGGAAGCGAGCCGCCCGCGCCCGCTCGTAAGGCGCTGGCCCAAATAGTAATATGGGTCGAGTTTACATAAATCCGCTTGGAAATTGCGAACTTGCCAATGAAGGCTACAATGGAGCGGATTGTCTATTGTTGTAACCGTTGCCGCCTGACAATATCATGTTCAATATGATACCTAAATCGATTTCGTAGTGAATAGTCCATAAAGAGGTATTACCCTCCAAAGACGCCGATTGAAGTGAAATCCTAGTGCAAGCGGAGTTTAGGCTCATTTACGATCCTTAGGCTCAGTGGTACACGTGGCTGGCATTTTTTTACATATTTTTTGCTAAGCGTCATAACCTAGTATTTAGTTCGTTTCTGGCCGCAAACAAAATACGTTTTGTGAATAAATTTGTAGTACTAATTGCCTGTCTTGTGATGCAAAGACCAATAACAAATCAATCTTATAAACTCGTACTCCTGCTACTTACTACTAATACTTCGTCATCATCAGTCTCGCGGAGCCTTTCACCAAATCAATATATGTGTAATCCTTGTTATAGTATTTATGTAGTATAAGTAGTTTAATAAAAATTCATCAGATTATTTACAGTTTATTCATACTTTATATATTTTGATGAAGAGCTCGATGTTTAATATTTATGTAATTTTTTTAGTAATAAGTATAGTATAAGTAAACACAACAGAATATCAGCGCTGCTTCTTTTATTAATTCGTGTTTTTTCTGTATCTCATGTATGTTATGTGTCTGTAATTGTGAATAAAGAATTTATCTATTTATCTATCTATCTACAACTTTGGATTTATATATCAGCGATGTGTGGCCACTGACTACTACATCAATAGTTGACAGTGTCTCTTACCATGCGATACTACTGCTGTAAAAATCTTTATTGACTGCCTGTTTTGTTTCAAAAATGATAAATAGTAAATGTACCAAATATCCAAATTAACAACATACAGGCAGTGACAATAAATCGCTCATTTTGTTTCACTTGCTCTAATTATATTACAACCAGCAACCAGCAACCAGCTATACCTGTGACTTCTATGCCGCTTTCAGCATTTTGCAACATTACTTTATTTTAATAAAAGAATTTATCTAAAATAAAAGTAGCCAAAGTTAGGAGTGATTTACTTACTTAACTTACGTAATAGACAGACAAAAATTAAAAACAAAAATTTTTGGTATATGTACCGTATTTATATTCATATTCATGTAGTAAAAAACTGTTATTTCAAACAGACACTCGATTTTTATTTATATGTATAGATGACAATCTCATTTAGTTTCAGTGATATTTCTTTTTAAAATCAAATAACAAAATAGGAACAGCATATAATCGAGTTCTAATAAAAACAAACGCGTAATTCTTTAAATATTCTAAAGTACCGCTGCCAAATCTCTTCGTTTTTTTGGCCGCGGATCTCGGAGTCTATTGACAATCAAACAAACAATAGCTTGGGACTTATAGTGCCGCCTCGCGCTGTGTGGCCTGAAAATAACTTTTATAAACATCAAAGGACACCTCATTATCATGCGGAGATAATGATATAAAATGTTATTACTACGATTCATTGTGGCGGCAGGCGGCGGGATATTAAAAGTGACATTATGATAATAATAGTTCATTCAGGGTTTTATCTCCGGTTTCATGGAGCAATCCGGTTTGCAATTTCCGCCGCTTTGCTGTGTTCATGATGAATTGAACAGCGCGGCCAGCGCGACGTCGCGCGCCCTCCCAACATCCAATATCAGAACGAACACTCATTTGATTTCAAAACCCTTTTTGATAATAGTTTTTTTTATTTTCTAGTGGGAAATCTCAGTGACTGAATGTGAATTTGAAAATATGCAACTTCCTAAAGATGTTTTTTTGCTCATTCACGCTGGTCAGATGGCTGGACCGATTCATATTTGGTACATTATTTATGAATGAAATGCTGTTTAAATAACGTAAATTAAATATGGTAATGGCAGAAAACTGTGATTGTTACAGCCTATGCTGTAAATAATATAAATGACGTAGTGGATTAACTTGAAACAGTCATGCTCGCTATAAAGTTCAAACTTGTGGCGGCGTGGTGGGCCGGGTCGACTTGCTCCCTCAATATGGATTGCAATGATGGCTGGCTTATTCGTCATACTCGTGTACGGGTGCTACTTGTGGGGACTGGTCTGTTCCAGTTACGAGCATTGATTAGACTATTTACTTTTGCAATAACATATGCTGGTGCTCACTCTATTCTCCCAAATTTAAATTAAAAAATGAATCTGTATTATTGTAAACATGTACAACATTTATTTGAAAATAATACAAGCTTAGTTTCTTGTCAGTTTTTCTCATCTCGAAATCATTCCATACTGACGGTATTTGACATATCACAAGAGTCTGCACCGACCTGTTCCGAGTAAGAGACCTGTAAGAGACTGTACCGAATAGAAACAGACTTCATTAGAGTTAGTAAGTAAATAAAATTGCCCTCCATGTGTAATGTTTAATAAAGTTACAGTGTTAGATTGTAATTAAATATTGAAGTCTGCTCACTGGTAGTACACTGGTAAGTGCCAGCAGTGGCCCGCGTCGCCCGCGCCTCGCTCCTCCCGTGGTGCGTGGTGCGGTGGTACATTTGAGCTAAGCTCTCCCCCGAGGCGGCTTCGCGCGGCCGCCTGTTTACTGGCTGACGGTATATTTGTGTGATAGAGCGGCCTATCAGCCTGTTTAATATGCTTTTCAGTTTATAGCCGCCCGCGTTAATTGTATCTTGTGGCCGGAGTAACAGACGAGCGTACACGAGATAAAGCCTCTCAAAACCCGCAAATAACGAGGCAAGACTCTGTGCCTACTCTATACGTAGTACGTACCCTGCATAGATGTTTTTATGTATTTATGAGTCTGGAAACGAGAATTATTTGGAGATTAGAATACACCGGAAACATTATACCCTTTTCAAACAGATTCATGGCATACAGACAGATGGACAGACCGGATCGGTAGTCTGTATTTTGGTTTTATTTCTTACCAGATTTTTCCCGCGACTTCGATCCAGTTATATGGAATATACATATTTATGGATTAACAAAGAGTAAGCAAGTAAGCAAACAACTACCACGTGTATGCCTAGTTATACGAAAACAATTATGTCCGAGTTGGCAAACAAGCATACGGCCCATCTGATGGTAAACGGTTACCGTAGCCTATGGACGCCTAAAACACCAGGAGTGTCTCGTGCGCGTTGCCGACCCTTAAGAAACCTTAATATACCCTTCTTGAAAAACCCCATACTGCAGTCTCGTGAAAAAACCTCGGCAGGTAGTTCATTCCACAATGTAAGTGTATGCGGGAGGAAGCTCCCCTGAAACCGCACTGTCCGAGACTACTTAGGATCCAGCGTGTGGGGATGAATTCCCAAATAGCCAATTTGAGTGCATGTACGATATTATATCAGTTTTCTTTTTTATTATATAACGTGTGTGCAGAGTACGGGCGGTGCCGCGACAGCGACTCTGAGTCGAGCGGGTCCCCGTGCGCCGCGTGCGCCGCCGAGCTGTACCGGCTGCCCGCCGCGCACCTCTCCGGTTAGTTGGGAAACTAACAATAACATCTATTACTTACCTACTTACATAGTTTTAGAGGAGGAAAATTAATGGTTGATTGAATTTATTTACTTATTAGGTCACCAAAAAGGTTTAGAGCAACAAAATTAGACTATGTATAACATATTGTAATGTACTTAATATACTTAGCGTAACTTTAATTATCGGCAACTACTTAGATACGTTGCCCGCGGTGGAGTCGAGCGCGGACGACACGTCGTACAGCGCCGGCAGCCGCGCGCGCCACCCGGCCTCCCGCGCCGACCGCGCCGACCGCGCCGACCGCGCCGACCGCGCCGACCGCGCCGACCGCGACCGGGCCCCGCGGGGTGCGCGGGGCGCGCGGGGCGCGGCGCGGGGCCGCCGCCGCAGGGACCACTCGCGGCACTCGGCGCCCACCGTCAGGTGACACCCTGCACACACCACACCATCCGCATCACCACCCGCATCGACACTCACTCCTACTCCACTTCGTATGGGGCACTCCTCACATGTCACACTTTTACATTTCACTGTACAAATATAGTAGGTGCCGCAACTGAAGTTATCACATGGTCGGTTGCAACTTTTGACGGTATCCCTAACTTACCTATACGCTGTGTTGTTTTGGGTTTATTTAAAAGAGCAACACACAAGTTTCTTGTTCATTCTTCTTGTGTGAACCTGGATTCAGAATGTGCGGTAGAATAAAAAGAAAAGTGACTATTCAAAAGTGCTTTATTTAAATAAAAATTATTTATGTTTCTATTTCTTTCTATTAGCATTTCTGAATACGTACTTTAATATATATAGTAGTGGATACATAAGTTACATCCTAGCGGTGTTATATTATATATGTACATGGAAGATGTGGAAGTTTCCCTCGAATAAAGTAACAACAGTTTTCACGAGCCTTCACTGAAGGTTTAATTTGAGGCCAATACAAACAGTGGCACGGGGCCGGACCCTCGTCGTCCCGACTTCTCAGTACTTAAGGGCCGCTTGATTGGCCACGTACGTGACCCGCAACCGAACGCGCACTCAAACTTCTCCAGCGGCCCCTCGCTCACATCACACTCCAACATAACTATATTTTTATATACAAATAGAACTTTAATTGTAATCATATTGTGTCTATTGTGTTATGCATATTACCATACATAATACCTGGCAGCGTTTCAGGAGTCCTTCATATTACTTAATTGGTAAATTACGATTGTTAAATTTTAGATGTAACTAAGAAAGAAATCCTAATGATTATTTACGCACTGATGTCAACTATATAATAAATTTGTTTCTTTTCGATAAAGCCACCGTTTCTAAGAGGACGAAGTGGTGGCCGGCAGCGTTCATTTCGGTAATATATTAGCGTGGCCCGACCGTAGACCCCGACTACCACACTCCAAGCATGGCTTCAGCGCTTCTAACCGCAGTGCCGGCTCCAGACCGAGACGTGAGAGCGCGCAGCGTCGCCACTAGTGCATGGGCATCTATTGTGCATGAGGGATCATGTCCCGAGCGGTAGTCTAAGCGAGTGGTATCTTTCCATTTACTAAATTTGTCCGCTCCACTTTGAATCTGAAAATCTTGAAATCGTAAACGGTATGTCATACCGGCTCCGCATGCTCGCCGACGTGAATGCCAGTAAGTAGGTCTGCATCGTGCATGCGAGGAGGTGTCGCCGGCCCGTCGTTGTGTTGAGCGGAGTGTTTCGGTTGCAGGTACTGCCCGCCGGCGGAGGCGGCGCTGCAGGCCGCCCGCGAGCCGCTGTGAGGCGCGGGCCGGCCTCCTCACGACTCACGTGTACATACCGTGTTGTAACTTTGTAAGCGATCCCGATGTTGCCCCATTTGACTGAACTAATCTTATATATTAAATATTTGAGTTTTCATCTGATGTTTTATTCAGTCCGGACGGTCGCGCTACAGGGAATATACCGCCGTCGTAAAATCTAAGGCCCGGCGCGGTTCACGATTCTCGCCATTAAATCGCGTAATAAACCCATTTTTCATAAATAAATCACCCTCAGGATTCGAGAAAACATGCCAAATGAATAATAGCTTTCGTTCATTTAAATTTAATATTCGGCTGCGACTTCAATGTTGTGTTGTAACACGTGAATATATGTTTCTTGTACGTTATACATATATAATATACTGTTGAGGATGAGATGAGGATCCTACATAAAGAAAAATCATTAATTGGTGGTGTACTTGACAGTAGTATTGTTAATAATGCGCATTGTACCGAGAGTACACGAGACCTTTGTATCGTCCCTAATTAGGCCAATGTGATACCATTATAATAAATCTATCTATACAATCACTACGAAATTTGATCATTTCGTGTTCTCATTGTTCAGATTGCTATTAATGTAGCTTGAAAAGAGCAATCGATAAAGACACATTCAATAACAGGCGTCGTCTGAATTCACATGAATGGTCCACGGACGTACTCGCTCGTTGCCACTCCTCCGCCTTTACCTTCGTATCCTGTAATATCACTGCCATATATCACTATTTCACAGATATTGGAACATTTAGTGTGTAATATTTTTGTAATGTATGTTAGCCGTATTTATGTAGTTATGTGTATATATATATATTTATTCATGTATATTCCAAAAATAATATATTATTGTTTGCACCGCCAACAACAGAGCACTTCTGGTAGAAAATGCTAAGTGTTAAGTCCCTATGTACTTTTTACCTATGTATGACATGCTTATAATATTTGTAAGATTTATGATTACGGATGTAGGTGGGGTGAGTGAAACTTATACAAACATGTGGTCCCGACTGCAGCGCGCTCCAGTCTGCCATACAAATTAGTGCGAGTTGGGTAATTCGTGGGCCTTTTTCCCTGTTGCCGCAGTTGCTTAACTTTCCAAATTAATTCCGAGATCGTCGATCGCTGTACGCATGATTTGGTGGATTTGCTTCGACTCGATTCTCATTATTATAAGTAGTTACTTATCCAGATAGAGACTTACGCGTAAATCGTACATACTATGCTATTGGTTTCTATTGCCAAGCAGATATTCTTGTGAGGCTGTGTTTATTTCTTATGAGGTGAACGTAAGGCGATTCTTTCTCTAAAACATAACCTTCAAAACTAAAAAACACATTTTCACAGACTATATAATATCACAGAATACAGATCACAGACTAATTACATTTTTGTTTTATAAGGTTACTAGAGGAGCTTACTAGCTTTCAGTTTCTTTAGTTTAGTGGACCATTAGGTTATTTGTTATAGCTGTGTTTTCTATGTGTATTATATACCTATATGTATTTACAAAAAACATTAGTATTTCTATCAGTTGTCTACTATACATAACACAAGTTCTGCTTAGCTTGAAGCTAGATGGCGCTGAGTGAATTAACCTAGGTTATTATTACTATCTATAAAATAAGACATCTAGAATCACATACAGATATATTTTTTTTAAAGCATAAAGGACAAACGACCTTGCAGCTTATCTGATGGTTTTTATCGCCGCCCATGAGCACCCAGGGAAGGGAGCAACACTAGGGGTAATTACACTACAATTGTAATGTGTGTTGTCGACCTTCAATAAAGGAATTTGAATTCGACGTAGTTGTTAGCGAGCAGACCGCTGTCTGCCAGGGCGATACTAATTAAATTATATATAAATGTGTTTTCATCAAAGTGAAGACAGAATGTCAATATAATGAAACAGAAGTACACGTATACACAATACGAATATGAACACTGCTATACTAGCTACTCGCCCGGCTTCGCACGGGTGTATATGTATTAGAGTATAGAAATAGAGAATGTATACATATACCTTCCTTTTGAATCACTCTATCTATTAAAAAAACCGCTTTAAAATCCGTTGCGTAGTTTTAAAGATTTAAGCATACATAGAGACGGAAAGACAGCGACTTTATCTTATACTATGTAATTAATTGACTACTAACACTGATACTATATACTGACAGTTATATATATATATATAACTCAAAGGTGACTGACATAGTGATCTATCAACGCACAGCCACTGAAATTTGGCATGCAGGTAGATGTTATGACGTAGGCATCCGCTAAGAAAGAATTTTGAAAAATTCTACCCCTAAGGGGATAAATTATCGCAAGCGAAGCCGCGGGCAAAAGCTAGTTTATTTATATATTCATAGTACTAACTAAATATATCAAGTGTTTATGATGCAAATTATAGTGAATGTTAAATAGATGGAAATTTAGGTAAATACTTGTCAGAGTCGGCCCCGACATCGGCGGCGCGGCGCGGCGGGTGCGGCGCGGCGCGGCGCGGCGCCTACGAAGCAACTACGCAGAGTTTGTTGGCGTCCCTTGTTATTATCAAGCATTCTGTTGAATATCTATTGAATAATAAACCGTGAATTAAGAAATGGAAAGTATACTCACTGTACTCACACAGATATATAGGACATATATATGTAGGATCGTGACCACGTTAATAACTGGCACCTGTTTCGTACAGGTTCACTTATTAGTTATTGATTCCCTATCAAGACGAGAGATCGCTACAGCACTAACACTATTTTTTTTATAAACAACCCTGTTTGGCCTATTGTCAGATGTTTGTAGCACTGCGACCTACATAGATCTATTGTGCTCGCCCTGTTTCAGAGTTCGCTACCTAGACCCGTCAGGGACAAGAATTGAAGGATATTCTTAAGAGCGATGGTTTTTATCTCCTCGGGAAAGAGAGTAAACTTTCCAAAGGAGATATTTCGTTTATACATGAGTGGGCTACAACCACATAGAATGTGTAGTGGCGTTTCCTCTTCAGTTTAAATTAACTAATAGAATTAATTAACTAATAATTAACACCAACATTAGTTATAATTAATGAAAATAATAGAAATACTTGTAGAGACGATTATTATAGCAGAGCGCAGTGACAGAAGTGATATAAAACAAAATGTACATATATACAGAACATCATATTTTAAATATGGATAAAAGAATATATAAAAACTGCCAGTGACTCTCATTGTAGGTCTAACAAATATTATATAGGTACGACTACTGGTGTACCACCAGGCACCTGTGCTGTAGATACGAGTATAAATGTATGTAAATTATTATTATTAACAGTTGCTCTCGAAACGACACAGTGAATGATGAGTAGTGCAAATATAGCTGACTATACCTCGGTGGTCTAACGGTCTAGCACACCGCTTTACGACCGATGGTCGCGGGTTCGATTCTATTTGTATTCATATATGATTGTTTGTATCGGTCTGGGTGTTTTCTATGTATAATATGTATTTATTTACAAAAAATATATATATCTATATATATGTATCAGTTATCTAGTACCCATAACACAAGCTTTAGCTAACTTAACTTGGGTCTAGATGGCGCTGTGTGAATATCCTGAGATTATTATTATTATTAATTACCTAAATTAAATATGTATTTAATATTACATAACAAGTCTAGTCTTAATCAGACATTTAGCGTCCCGATCAGGTAAATCGGGACGCTTCCCCTGAAGATCGGGACGTCCCGCGCAATCCGAACACCTGGTAACACACACACAGTGACTGCTGACCTGAATGGTGGCGCTAAAGTAAACTTTAAATCTGAAATTATCCGGCGTGAATACTGTTGTAATGATAGCACGGCTCCACTTTTATACGACTCTTAGTTTCTAACCGTTGTTGTAGTGAGTTCAGCAAA